GACTCGATCTGAACTACTGTCACTGCCTGGCTGCCCCGACTCTGGCCTTTGGTGCGGAGGTCCATGGTGTTATTACCTTCAGTGTATAGGTCATCCCGGATCAACAAGCATTTAGTCCCTGCAAGGGTGACTCCCTGAAGAAATAACTTTTCTCTCCCCTCTTTCGCCAGCAAGATCTGAATTTCTTCCTGGGTCAACTGGAAAAAGTTGCCTTCAGGATAAGAAGCTAACAACCAGGGTGGAGAGTTAGTGATAATTGCTGCATCACAGCACATCCCAGTCTGTAGGAAGAGGGTGATGCAGTCTTGCCAGACCTCTTCACTGATATCCCTTATACACTGCATGATTCACGTAAGCTGTCTCTAAAAGATGAATAAAGTGCTTTCTAGCAAGTTGGTCTTCAGAAGAAATTTGTTGGCAGTTGGCTCAAGATGACTGATAAGCAGAGACTGAAATAAGTTTAAAATGCAGTCTGTTTCTGATGAGCTTTCCCCAGTAGCAAGGTGGAGGAGGTCTTGGTGACTTGGATGAAGTTAGGCCCCAGCTGCCCTCTGCTGTGATTTTTCAAGCTACCTCTAGAGCAGGAGTGATGTCACAAAGGCTCTGTGACTTTTTAAATAGTCATCATCCACCACATCATGGCTGACCTTTGGCCATAGGTTTCTTGAGGCTATATCTCTAGCTAGTGAGATCTATATAGGCAAAGCACACCTATTTACTTCCCTAGGATACCATGGAAAAAACACTAACCCCCAACAGTGGAAAAGCCTTTGAAGTAGAATTCAATAAATGAGTCGGGGGTTTGAATATAAAGCAGGACAGGTGAGATTTACTGCAGAAACTAGTATCTCAGATGTCAACTAATCTTGCTGAAACCTGAGCTCTAGGTATAAAGTCAAAAAGCTCACAGGCTCACCAGTTCACAACTTCTTTGGGGACCACCAAAATAGCCTCAAAATTGTTATCTTGCCTCTGGACTCTTTTCTTCTAGTTTCTCTTCTGCCTACACCAGTTATGAATATAGGGTCATTCATCCTCATCTAATCACTCAGCATTCACTATATACCAAATACTTTTCTAAGTACTGGGATAAAGTAGGGAAGAGAAAAAGTACATATGGAGCTGACATTGTAATGGGAGGAGACAATCAAATAACAAATAGATAATAATAGTATACCTTTCCCTGAAAATATTTTATGAGTCTAATATTTTCTTCCAGATTTTTCCTTTTATTCTCAGGCTTTTTCGATTCCTGTGGGGTCCAATCTGACTTCTGACTCTTCTGCAGCCTTTGACAAATCATTTCCTGTGCCTTAATTTACTCTGAAATGACACCCACTTGCTTTAAGGAGGGAATGTTAGGAGTGTGGATAAAGTTAATGGTGGAGAAAATCTGGGATAACTTTGACAATTTATTTATCTAACAAATATTTATTGAGTACTTACTGTGTGTCAGGTCTGTTGTAAACTTTGGAGATCTGGCAATAAACAAAAAGTCCCTGCCCTCATGAAGCTGGCATCCTAAAGGGGGAGACAAGTACTAAATTACAAAGACATTTATAATATATCAGGTGGTATTGATAATTATGAAGAAAAAAGGTTAAGAGGGTAGAAAATGCTGGGGAGGAGTGGTGGTCATTTTATATTATATGAAGTGCTCAAGTAAGGATTCTATGATATGGTGACATTTGATCAGACACCTGACAGAGATGAGGGGGTAAACATGTGGATATCTGGGGAAAGGGCATTCTAGACACAAGAAACAGCAAGCGAGAGCAATGTGACTTGAGCAGAGAATTAGGTGATAGAAGATGTAGTTAGAGAGGTACTAGGATATCACATGCAGGGTTTCATAGGCTACGATTAAGGGCTTGGCTATTACTCTGAGATGGGGAGCCACTGGAATGTTTTAAGCACAGTAGTGCCATGATTATAGATTCTAGAGTCTAGAAGATGCTATGTAGGGAGGATAGGGACAAAACATGGAGACTAGACTGCACCAATAATCCAGGCAAGATAAACAGAAGCTTGAGCCAGGATACAGCGGTGAGAAGTGGATGGATTCGGAGAACATTTTGAAAGAAGAGCTGATAGGATCTGATGATGAGTCAGGCTTGAGACATTAAGAGAAAGTGCGTGCCTCCAAGGCTTTTGGCCTGAGCTACTGGAAAGATAGAGTTGTCATTTCCTGAGATAAGAAATGGTATAGGAAGAATATATTTGAGGATGCAGGTAGAAATAAAAAGTTCTGTTTCGGATTTGGTAAGTTTGAGATGCCTCTAAAACATCCCAATAGTCATATATAGTAGGCTATTGGATATTATTTAAGTTTAAGAGTTCAGAGGACAAATCAGGACTAGAGATGAAAAATTGAAAGTTGTCTGAAATAAACAGTATTTAAAGGCATGAGACCGTATGACAGAACCCAAGGAATAAGAGTTAATAGAGAAGAGGACTAAGGTCTGAGCCCTGGAAGCATTGTAACATGTAGAAATAGGTAAAATGAGGGATTAACAACAAAGGAGATTGGCAAAGAGAAGTCAGAGAAGTAGGAGAGTAGTGTCCCTGAAGTCGAATGCAAAAAAAACAAAAAAACAAAAAAAACCAAACCTGTATCAAGTGAAAGAGAGTGATCAAATACTTTTGAGAGGTGAAAACTGCCCAATAGATTTTGCAATATGAAAATTACTGTAATCTTGACAAGAACAGTTTGATGGAGTAGTGGGAGCAAAACCTGATATGAGTTGTTTGAAGAGAGAATGAAAGGAGAGGAAAAGAAGTGGGAGGAATGAGTGAATTAAAAAATCTTTGGAGGAGTTTTGCTATAAGGTACAACAGAGAAATTGGAGATGGTAGGTAGGGGACAGTAACGTGGACAAAGGAAAGGTTTTTTTAAAATTGGAAATATTATAGTATGTTTTTGTGCCGATGGAAATGATTTGGTAAAGTGGTAATATTTCATGATAAAGGAAAGAAGGGGCAACTAAGTAGGTGAAGATAGGTGAAATTGAGTGGACGAATGGAGGGGTTGCTTTCGGAAGGCTCAGGAACAGCTGATTCATTGAAGGTAGATTACATAGGTCCACAGGCTGGGCAGCAATCAAATTTTGTTGTGAGAAGATGTGAAAGTTCCTTTCTGATGGCTTCTGTTTTATCAGCAAACTAGGAATCAAGGTAATCATCTGCAAGAGAGAAGGACATGTTTGATAATTGAGTTGAGGAAGAGAAGGCAAACTTGTCATCTTATTGTATATGATACCTGTTTGAATCCTCCCAAGCACCTTATTAGAATGGGTTTACAGATGAGAAAAGTTACACCCAGAGAGGTTATGTAACTTGCCCAGGGTTATTCACCATTAACGAATAGCAGAACTGGAATTTGAACCTGGAGTCCATACCCCTTTTCACTATCCCAAACAGCATCAAAATGAGGTTTTAAGAAATTGAATGTATGGTGGTGGCATTAATAGGGATATAGAAAACTTGAGAAAGAGCAGGTGACAGAGGAGGGAGAATGCAGGGGTAAGGAGGAGGGTGTGAAAGATGAATTTGTTTTTGGCCAAGATGCCTTTAATATGCTAGCAGAAACACTAAAGTGGAAGTCTCAGAGGATAGTGGTTGTTCCAAATTTGAACTCAGAAGAAAGGTCACAGGACTTGAGATGTAAATTTCTGAGTCCTCTACCAGGGGGTAAGAGTTGAACCTGAGAAAGAGATCAAGATTACCAAAGAAAAGAAAACAGGGAGAAGAGGAATGAGGACAAAAGCCAGGTAAATGGCTAAAGAAGGATGAAGAGGAGCTGGGATACAGGCCGTGAGTCTGCTTTATAACAAAGTCCAAAGAAAGAAAGTGTCAAAAAGAAATATGAATCAACAGTGTTAAATGCTGCAAAACAATTAGAGAGTGAGCACTGAGTAGAGCTACTGGATACAGCAATTGGAGTTCAGGATGACTTAAAAGTGCCAAATTGATGGGGGTGGCTAGGGAAGAGTGAGTGTTATGAAGAATTGGAGACAATGGAAAGTGAAGTCTATTCTTTTGAGAGCTTTAGCAGTAAAAGGACTGAAATTCATGGAATGACAATTCCCGGGGTAATTGGGCCATAGATTGAGGGAAGGGCTTTTAGGCTTGGGGAGAAGGCAGAATATGATAGATGAGTAGTTTAACTAGCAAGTGTTATGGACACTCAAGGAAGAGAGAAATCACTTTGTGGGGGAGGTGAGATTGCAAGCCATAACAGCACAATATTAGAGCTAGACATGACCAAAGCAATAGTGGCTAATACTCTATTGTAACATTGGTCACTTAAGGCCCAGAGTGCTGACAGGATTTGCCCAAGGTCACACAGCAAGTTAGTGGCAGTCCTGAGAGTAAAACCCAGGTTTTCCAACTCCTAGACTGTTTCACAAGTCTGATTCAGAGAACACCACTGAGAGACTACACCTATCTGAACCTCATCTGAGATGTGGCCCAGTGGGCCCTTGGTGCTTTTCCCACATTTGTGAAGACAAAAGTTATGAGGCTACTGCCATTGTCCAGGCCTTAATTAGGTTTACACAGTAGACTTGTAAAATAAAGTAGAGGAGAATATGTTTATAAACCATTTCAAAAAATTCTACGGTGACTTTCCCAAGGTCTTACAGCTAGGAAGCTCTTCAGAAGCCCAGTTACCACTAAGGGAGAGTCTATCTCTGCTGGGTGTCATTACTGTTAACATTAAAGAGTAGTGGAATTATATTGGTGCTCAGAATCCTTACTGCATTAAGAAGTGTGAGAAGGGTGTTAGTGCTTGAGTCTGGGACTTAACCTCTGGGCCAAACCTAGTGCTTGAACTACACCAGCTCCCCAGAGAAAAGGGCATTTGCCAGAAAGCAAGATGGTGGGAGCGGCCACAAGCAAAGTGTCGCGATAGGAGCCTTAGTGAGGACCAGGTAACGAGAGTTTGAGCTCGGGCAGGGAGGGCGGGGGCTGGAGCCCTTACTGGACCAGGGGGCGTCGGCGGCGGGCGGCGGGCGACCGGCGGCTGCGGTTGTTGTGAAAGTACTAAAAGCTTCATTTGGCGGGAACTGCAGTCATGGACCACATCACGGTGCCCAAGGTAAGGAGAAGAGTTAGGTGAGGCAGGGAGCCGTGAACTCCCTGTAGGTGCTCAGCTGGGAGTTCAGGTACACTCTTCAAGCTTTCTCAGGGTGCTCTTTGATGCCCCCTTCCTGCGCCAGGACCCGCGTTCTCTCCTTGGTTCACACCCCCTTTCAGCCAAACTGAACTCTACTCCGGACCGGCCTGTGGGCAGCGTTGGCAGCGTTGGCAGCGTAGCGGAGGAACGGTGGTCTGCGTCAACCGTCCCCTCGTGCGACGCTGCCCCTGCACCCGGGGAGCGACTGCCCGGTCCTTCCCTGCCCTGTGCCTTCGATTTCAGCTTCTCCCGGCACCACAGCCATTACTTCACACACCCCATTTTACACACACTTGCCGCACTTGTAGCCGCCTTTCTCGAATACTCCACATGGCATTGCCTCCCGGAGAGTTCCTTTATTCAGCGTTTCCCTGCCCTCCTCTTCGCTCCCTCGACCCCTAACCAGCAGACGGCTGAACAGATGGCTGCCCAGACCACTACCGCCTCCCACGCCCCAGCTCCCCGGCATGCGTGTGTGGGTTTTGGGGGTGACAGCATCTCTCCAGCCCAATCTGGGCTGTGGAAAAAGGAGGATGTGTAGCAGAGGGGACCTGGCTTTACTCAGCCAGGAGAAAAAACCCGGAAGGTGGCATTGCCAGGCCAGTTGGCGCCTGTTTACAGCAGAATCCCAGTTAGATCCGCTTCTACTTTTCAGACCGTACCTTTCCCTCCCCAACGACAGTCCCTTCCCAAATCTACCTCCCTCCTCTCAGTTTTCTTTCTGCCATCCGAGACTGAAGATCAGGAAGAGTTCGCAACTAATCTCTGCTTAATTTTTCCCCCCTGTCAATCATAACAGACGTTGCCCAGGTTAACTGAAGTCTACATAAAAGCCCAGTATGTTGTAATCGAAAGAGCATCGATTTTGAAGCCAGAAACTTGAATTAGAATGCTGGTTCTCCCAACTACTAGCTGATGATTTTGGACAAATTTTTTAACCGCTGTGATCTTTTCCTTCTCTACCAAATGGGGATAATGAAATTTGCTTTGCTCATTTAGGATAGTTGTGAGGACTAAATCAGAGTTTGTGTAGGAAAGCTTCTTTTTAACTAAAAAAGTTTCCTGCCTAGTTGTTGACTTAAGATTATGATGCTGCCTGATGGGCAAAGCAGGAAGTCTAACCTTCAAACCTCTTCTTTCCTGACTCCTTTTTCTTTAGGCCTCCTTCTCTGTTGAAGATAACCACATCCCTTGTAGCATCCAGCCTTACCTTTTTCTTGGTCCTTTCCTTTACAGGTCATGTCATTAGCACCAGTGTCCCTGGCATGGTATAGGAAGGTGGCACCATCAAAGGAATGGGGCTTCTGCTGTCTATCTTCCTCTTCTCCCCACCCATCTAACCCTGGGCCATCCTACTTGCCCAACTCAAAATTAGCTCATCTGAATACTCCCTTTGTTTTTCTTTCGACCTGAGGAAGAGGAGGAGGCAAAACTGCCCTTGTGCTTGAATGTTATAATATTAAAAAATTTAAAATATTAAAATCCTTCTGTTGGGGGATTAAAGCTATAAACTGGTCTAGCTGTATGGTAAGGGAGAAGATACCATTATCTTGCTATAGTTAAATACTCAATGAATTACTATGGCAGGCACTGTGCTAATTGCTTTACATGAAATAGATCTTAAATCCCTACATCTACCTATAAGGGAGGTACTTTTATTATTTCTGTGTTACAGATGAGGAAACAGACCCATAGAGATGAAGTGACTTGCCTAAAAAAGATAAGAGTACTCAGTTTTAAACTGATATGGAGATGAGGCTAGTGCTCAAAAAAAATTTAACTGTCATGGCTGGACTCCATTTGTACTACATAGATGGTATGTAGTACAAATGGAGATGGTGAGTCTTGGAATACAAATTAAAACTCCAAATGAAGACTTAGTTCTTTAACTAAAATTGGTATTTCTTTTGGTGCCTGGCTGGGCTGTCAGAGCCCACAGGTGGTATACTGCCACAAGTCCATTTATTTTATTTTATTATTATAAATTTCTGGAAAGGATTAGGGTTGCACTAATGGCTAAGGATTAACATGGCCTCTCTCTTGTTAACTCACCGTTTCCAAAAAAGGGAGAGACTTCTGTCTTGTCCATCTCAGGATAAAGAGATAACCATGAGCTTCTTATTTATTCTGCATGTCAGGTGCAAAAGTGACTTTTATTTTTGGTTCTTGCTTGAGTCTTTTTGTCAGGAAGAGTTTTTTTTTTAAAACTGTATTGAAATGTAACATACATTTAGAAAAGTTTATAGATAAGTTTATACTCCATGAATATTCACAAACTGCACATACCCATGTAACCAGCACCCACATCAAGAAATAGAACATGACCAGAGGTCACCTCATTCCTCTTCTAGTCAATACCCCTCTCAAGGATAACCGCTATCCTGACTTCTTAACATAAGAGATTAGTTTGCCCTTTTCTTCGTACTTAAAATAAATGGATTCATACATTATATACTCTCGTGTCTGGCTTATTTTGACTAAAATTGTATTTGAAAGATTCATCCATATTATTCCTTATAGATAATTCTTATTGCTGTATAGTATTCCATTTTGTTAACATGCCATGTGTGATTTATCCAGTCTTCTGTTATTGGGGACTTTCAAGTTCTGGCTGTTAAAAATAGAACATTTGGCGGATATACATACATTTACATTTTTGTTAGAATGTACATAGGAGTGGAATTTCTCCATCATAGGACAGGCATACATTAAGCTAGAGTAGACACTACCAATTTTTCACTCTTCCCACCTGTGTGTGAGAGAGGAATTGTCTTTTTAAGTTATAACTTTAGGATTTAACAGTGATTTTTGTACTCTCTCAGGCCTACCCATAAGTTTAGTGACTCTTCTGGCTAAGTCAGAAATTTTTCTTTGTACTTTTCCCTATCCCCATCACTTCTGTGTCAGTTGGCACCTAGAAGTCTTAATTACTTTCCATTCTGGAATGGAACCTTATTTATTAGGAATTTTCAGTTATCATTAAATGAGTTTCAACTGCCTTGGAAATTTACTGTAGTGGTTTAGAGCAGCAGTTTGCAACCTTTTTGGCACCAGGGACTGGTGCTCCTATGAGAAGCTAATGCCTGATCTGAGGTGGAGCTGAGATGGTGATGCTAGCACTGGGGAGTGGTTACAAATGCAGATGAAGCTTTGCTTGCTTGCCCACTGCTCACCTCCTGCTGTGTAGCCGGGTACCTAACAGGTCACGGACCAGTACTGATCTGCGGCCCAGGGATCAGGGACCCTTGGTTTAGAGTGTATGCATTGGAACCAGACTGTCTGAATTCAGATCTCAACTCTGCTACTTAACTTTGTGATCTTAACAAGTATGTAACTTCTCTATGCCTCAGTTTCTTTATCTGTAAAATAGTATTGATAATAATAGTATTTATCTCACAGGGTCGTTATAAGGATTAAATTAGTTAATATTTGTAAAAGTGCTTAGACCAGTGCTTGGTGCATCATAGATGCTTAACTTAGCTACCAATTATCAATCATCATCATCATCACCCTCATCATCATGATTATCATCACCATCATTATTAGTTATTCTTTACAAAACCTCATGTTGGGAGTTGTTAGGGATACATAGCTGTCTTAGATATAGCAACTGCCTTGTAGGGTCTCTAATCAAGTGAAGTGATGATCCAAGAATGAAAGTGAGAACTTTCATAAGAGGGAGCAATGAAATGCTATTGGAGTTTAAAGGCAAATGAGCTCCAGTTGTAGATGAGTGTGGGGAGAATGAAATAAAGAAAGCTTTATGGAAAGTGGCATTTAAACTGAGTCTGAATAATAGGATTTTACTTTCCAAAGATTGAGAAGGTGAGAGGGTGTCACTACCAAGGGAACTGTAAGAGTGTAAGCTAAGGGCAGGTAACTCACTAGGGCAAGGCAGTGAGAGGAACTTTTCAAGGAATTAAGTTGGAGAGAGGTTTTGTAGATTGTAGAGGACCTTGAATGTTAAACTGAGGAATTTGAACTTGGTTCTATAAGTAACAAAGAGCTGCTAAAGCTTTGTTAAGTCTAGTAATGTAGAATATAAATGAAAGGACTTTTAAAAGTAAATGAGGAATGAGAATGTAGTTTCTTTTTGTCATGATAAAAATGTTCTAAAATTATATTCTTATGGTTGTACAACTTTGTAAATTTACTAAAAAAAATCAGTGAATTTTGCATTTAAAACAAGTGAATTTCATGGTATGTACGTTCAACAATCTGCCGGTGAATGAATGAATGAAAGAATGAATTAATAGATCATTTAGTGCTAGTTCAAGCCTCTCATTTCACAAATGTGAAAGCTAGGCCCAGATGGCTAAAGTTTCTTGTCCAAGGTCAAACATCTACCAAGTAACAGAACCAGCACTGTCTTTTTGTCGGTTAGTATGCACGACTGGTTCAGACTATGATAAATTATGTGGAATTATCACTAAAACTAGAGTCAAAATAATTGGAAGTGTCAGGTGGGTATAGAATGCTATTCTGGATAATAATAAGTAATAACACTTTATACTACTTTACCGTTTACAAAGTGCTTTTCAATCCACACTATCTGCTCTCAAGATTACTATTTATATTTAACTTTCCTGAAAGATAATTTTTGGCTTGGCTTCCAGGAAACGAAGAAACAAATTTAATGTTCAGTCATATTAACTACATTAGCTCTTGTACTTAGCATAATTGTTTCCTCTTCCTTTTCATGGCTTTGATTTTCTGTTCTAATAACCTAATCGTAGATCCGTCTTTAATTATAAGCCACCTCAAATTCATTTAGGAAAGAGGCAGGATCAGAATAAATCATGATAAAACTGGGTAAAGTATTTTTTATTGTCAAAGAAATGTGATTTCTAGAGGTGGGGATCGTATTCTCCTTCTAGTTCTCAAAAGTCCAAATTCATTTGGCTTCATTTTGATTCTTTTAG